AGGGTCGTCGGCCTTCGGAGGCAACCGGATGAACCCCTGGTACGTCCATACGGTAAACCAATGTAGAAATAACTCTGCCGGAAAATAAACAAAAATTGTATTATTTAATGTTGAAGAAAAAATAGTTCAACAATTCTAATTTCGATTAGTCCGTTCGAAGATTCTTTTCTCTTCTTTCCGTTCAACTCCTCTTTCTCTCTCTCTCTCTCTCTCTCTTAAAAACAACGTAATTACTGTAGTTATTCAATGAGATTATTTGATACTGCGACATGTAGAAACTAAGTTTAGAATCTAAAACGAGATTGGAAAAGTTTACCGCGAGAGAAGCTCTTCCTTCGCGAATTAGTCCGCCAGACTCGCCCGAAGAAAAGACGAAGATATTGCAGTAAATAAGTACGAACGTTTATTTCTCTGACATGCCATGTATTTCGGCGATTTTCTGATACTACGCGTTTCTTTAAGATATTCAAAAGCGCCGAAATATGGCTAGCGATTCTCTGCGTTACACTTATTAAGGCATTATTCACCGAGTTACGCAAGGAAGACTCCAATGTCGCAAGTGAAATACGCTTTAATTCGACGTAATTAGATAAGAGCGAGACGTTATTTTTATATCCGTATTTTTTCAGGGTCTGACGGTGCAAGTGGATGAAGCTGGAAATATGATCATCGCTAGGATCCTTGGTGGTAGCACGGCGGCTCGTCAAGAACTTCTGAAGACCGGCGAGGTAATACTCGAGGTCAACGGCAAGAGAGTCCGAAACCCTGAAGAACTCCAACAGGCGATTCAGGATGCCAAGGAGAATCTATCTTTGAAATTGGCTCCAGGCATCGCCTCGGAAACGAACCAACCTCTCAAGTCCACGGTAAGCTACAAGCTGTTTTTCCATCTCGATGCCTCTGGTAACAACTATGTTCTCATTCTCCTTCCTTACGGTGCTCATTCAAGCTCGAAGAACACGACGTCGGCGTTGTAATCGCAAAGCAATGAAAATTCATAATAATTTCGTCAAGTTGCCGCTTTAATTTGATTTGTCATTGCAGTGTTACATGAGGGCTCTCTTCGATTACGATCCCTCGGAGGACACTCTTCTGCCCTGCCGAGAAATCGGTCTACCTTTCCAGAAGGGCGATATCCTTCAGATTGTTGACCAGGCTGATCCGAATTGGTGGCAGGCGAGAAGAGTGGAGGGCGAGAATCTTGGATCGCCCGGACTGATACCCTCGTTGGAGCTGGAAGAGCGTAGAAAAGCATTCGTACCCCCCGAAGCCGATTTCGTTCATAAAATCAGCATCTGCGGTACTAGGATATCTAAGAAGAAGAAGAGAAAGATGTATCAATCCAAATCGAACGGCGAGTTTGATAGTGCCGAATTGCTTCTTTACGAGGAAGTCGCTCGGATGCCGCCGTTTCGACGCAAAACTTTGGCTCTGGTCGGACCACGCGGCGTAGGTCGTCGGACACTGAAGAACAGGCTGATCAACAGTGATCCCGAAAAGTTTGGCACTATCGTACCCTGTAAGAAATATTTAATTAATTCATGTTTCATCAATCGATACTGGCTTGATTATCGATACTGAGCGAATGTAATCTCTTTGCAGACACATCGAGACCGCCTAGAGTTCTCGAAGAGGACGGCAAGAGTTACTGGTTTACCGATCGCCAGTCCATGGAGATCGATATCAAGGAACACAGATTCCTGGAACATGGTGAACACGGTGGACATTTATATGGCACAAAACTGGACTCGGTGCGGGAACTGATCAGAGCCGGCAAGATGTGCGTGCTAGACTGCAGTCCAGCTGCACTCAAAATCCTTCATAACAGTACCGAATTTATGCCTTATGTTATATTCATCGCCGCGCCCGGGATGGAGCAGCTGAAGTCTTTATACGATCTCGGGAGATCGACTGGTGCCAGTAGTCGAAATCTAACGGTATTCTTATCCAAAGTTTGCACCTGTATTTTCATAAAAATTGTCTTTCCCTATATCTCAAATCTCTACATTCTCTTTAGAGCTCCCCCTCGATTTCATGCGATGCTAGCAATCTATATGCGACAATTTATTTCATTGTTTATTTTATTTTTATTCCATCACTTTAGTTAATTGTTGTATAAATTTGATGTTGGCTTTGCTAGTTCGACCGCCAGAGTTCCATCAGGTACAGCTCGAGAAGAGCCAGGACACTGGAATCTCTCGCATCTTTATATGAGGTTTGTACCGCATGATTCGTATTGTTTTATTATATTATTATGCAGCATGTATTTACAGCAATCTGGAATGTCACAAAATTATTAATAGTTATCGATTTAGTTACGTATTTTAGTATCTCTCTTTCGCACGATATTCTTTGATTTTAATTCTTAGAATAGAGTTCTTTAATGCTTAATCACGGGAGCCATGAAAATAATATCATCTTTCTCTTGATAAGTTCGTGTCCTTACACAATAAATGTAATCAAATAATTCTTTAAACTCTTTCTATAACCCGCGATATTAAAGAAACCAAGCTACGTTCGTGATCTCGTCTAAAATGCATCTTACACGCTTTTATCATGAATTAATTAGAAAAAAAAAATTTTATACAATAAAACATTGTGAAAACAAGAAATTGATTAATGATCCATTTCATAGGAGGACGATTTAAAATCCACGTTGGAGGAATCTGCGGCCCTGCAGAGAGCCTATGAAAAGTACATCGACCAAGTGATTGTAAATGAAGATTTTGACAATACGTTCAGGCAGGTGATCGCAGCTTTGGATGCCTTAGCCACAGAGCATCAGTGGGTGCCGGTCAATTGGATCTACTAATTAAGTTCTGAATTCAGTGTTCGACATTGAAAGACTCGAGAGTCAAGGGCTGCTAGAAATTTTAGCGCGAATAAAAGAAAAATTTGTTTATTACTGCCCACATCACGTAATCAGACTCCGTTTGTCGCGCGGCTAGGAAAACGCAAGGCACGTGTAATCAGAGTACAAAGAATGCTACGAATATCTCACGCCGCGTGAAGCGATATCGACGTTGTCGCGTAAAAAGCGCGGTCAAGAATCTCATTATTATCGTTTATCATAATTAAATATAGCGTTTACGTTAGTTTGTTATAGATTTACAAACGACCCGTTTTGCGTACGAAATCTCATTAAAAATCCTTGTTTCACACATTATACATTAAATCATAATGTATAGCCTTCCCATACAGCACAGAATTTGCAGCAATATTGCTGCAAAATCTCTGAAATATTGCTGCAACATTCAATGTTGCAACTTTTGTACAACTTTGTGCTGTAGGAATTACAGAGACCCGCGAATCTTCTCAGTAATGATATGTGAGACTGGTTATACTCAAAAATGGAAAGTGAGTATTTTTTTACAATGAAAAATCATATCGTACGCTACATTTTTACTGCCAATCTCGACAACGATTGTAGAAGCAATTCGGGTCGATTGATGTGTTAGACCGCCGTCCAATTAATTTTAGTGTATTTTTAATTTAATTAACGATAACTGCGTACATATGTACGATCATTTATACCTATTCGCGACTCCGCTATACACCTTTCTCGAATTCTGTTTCGTGTTTCATTTTGCTATTCGTGCACGCTAAAGTAATATTCCTGGCATGGAGTGCCTTAATAACGCGAAGATTATAGGCAGTATTCATATTCGGTTCTTATATTTTAAGATCGTCTTAAGATACTAATACGGTTATTTGATTGGTTCATGACATCTTAAAACTGTGATGTACGTAAGACGGTCCTAAGGTCCAACTATGAATATCGCTCTACAATTGATTTAATGCGAAGACCTATTATGTCGACTTGACATACTCATCTTGCATTCGGGTTTCACATGATGGATAAAACTAACCATTGCCTTTTTTCTAACGTCTCCGACGGACAGTCGCATATTCACGCATATGCATTCACACGTATATACACATTCGAATTTTTTAATTCACACATGCATCTTAAAAAAATACATATACTTATAGGTTAAAAGGATTGCTTTGTACACAGAATACAACTATAAATATAACTGTATATTAAATCGAGACACCTGTCCCGAAGAGCAACGTGATGCACGATGTGGAATAAAGTTTATCGAGCATTTGTTACGGATTAGAATTGTGCAACGAATGAATTATTATTTCAGTATTCCTGTCCTCGCTCCTTTTTCAGGATTCTGCGAAAGGACGTTTTTTTATCAAACTGAAAATGTTACTAACGATAGATATAAGGATTTAATAAGTTTTTTATCATCATTATAAATTGAAAATATGTAATTAGGTAAAACAATCATTTTTATACATGTGTATTATATTCTCTTTTTCTCTTTTTTAATACAAATCTGTATCAGATTTTTCTCATACATGTAAAAATTAAAACAGATAAAAATAAAAATCTCAGGGAAATTAATTTCTTTTACAAATAATATTTTATATTTATTTAAAAGAATATATACGAACGTTCTTTATAAACTTCTGTAAATAGATTTATGCATCATAAGTACTGTTATATAAATAACATCTATAACGTTTTATTTTTATTATTTGTTATTATTTAAAACAAATGAAAATAAAAGTCTCAAGGGAATTAATCTCTCTTATAAACACCTTATTTATTATATTTATTATTACAAAGGAATATACAGGAAGCGTGTTTAATGATCGTAAATAAATTTATATTTGCGTTATAAACTTTCATAAACAGCACATATAACGTTTTTATTTCATAAAAGTAATTAAAAGTGTTCCTTTAATCTTTTATTTATGAAACCTAATCTTTTGAAAATATATTAACGTTATTAATTTTCACTAATGATTGACATTACAGGAATAATGAACTAGTGACGAAAATAAAAAACGACCTTATCAAATGTTATCGACGTTATCGTTCAAATAAATTAAATGGAGAAAAATTTTTCTCAATGCGAAAGTGGCGGTCTCGAAATTATAAGGCCGGTTCCTTTTATGTGCACTATTTGTGTGAAATTCCTCGTTCTTCTCTCACCTTCCGATGCGCGGATATATATCCGTCTTCTTTGTAAGTGCAGCAGATATGTACGAAAACGGATCAAACGGGGCCTACCGGCCTACCGGCTGATCGGCCAATGGCAGCGTATTATCTGCCACGTTTCAAGGTGGCAGAGTGGCTTGTCATAAACTCATGACACGTACGTGTCGTGCGGGAAAATCTTCGGTCCGCTGTAAGCGATCGTCGCGTACCGTCCCCTCGCCGTCGTCGGGAAGATGCAAATGCTACGGCAACTGGACGTGCACCCGAAGGTGCGCGAGGAGGCAGATATCCTCGTGAGGACTTTCAGCGGTGCTATCGGTAAACACAGTGTACTCTGTCGCGATACCGAACGACGATGATAATCGTCCGTCGCCGGCGAAAATGAAGGCTGGAGAACCGCAACGAGGACCGAATGTATCGTTTACATTCCACTGCGCTAAATAGTGTTGCTTGGTGCGAGGCGAAACGATACCGGCGAGCGATTAACCTCCTAGAATTTCTCCGCTCTCTGTTGACATCTCATTAAAATACTTGACTGAAATATTTTTATGAGTTACAATATATTCCATTAAAATATTTTATCTGGATAATCCGGATAATAAACATTTTAATTCGCGTCCTGTAATATTCGTACAAATATTTACGTTTGTTTTGTTTCTCCGTGTTTCTTGATGTTTGTAAATAAAAATTATTTGTTTACACTTGGCCGATAGTAAATAAAGCGCAGTTTGACGTATATTATGTTTGATAAAACGCCTGTTCTCTTTTTAACTGAACTTTTGCACCAGTTCATCTTTCTTTCTTTTCTTTCCATCTGGAAAGAAAAGGAAGGAAGATAAACTGGTGCAAACGTTCAGTTAAAAAGAACAGGCCTAAGAATTGACCTCACCAATGTTACACCAATGCAAATGATGAAATAATGCCTTTTCAGTTACAATCATTAGTACAATCATCATGGGCATACTGTTTTTGTCAGAGATAAACTATTATCTTACACCAACTATGAGCGAGGAATTATTTGTAGACACATCCAGAGGTTCTAAATTGAGAATCAACTTGGATATAATAGTCCCCGCTATATCTTGTGATCGTAAGTATAAATTGCACCGGTACATAGGCGAAGAATGATATCAGTCTCAGTCATTTCAGTGTTTTGCAGTTTTATCATTAGACGCCATGGATACAACAGGCGAACAGCATTTGCACATAGAGCACAATATTTTTAAGAGACGGTTAGACCTGAATGGTAACCCCATAGAAGATCCACAAAGGACAAGTAAGCATAATATTTACAATATATACAACACCAGCTAAAAGTGCCATGTAAAAAAATGTTTTATTGTAGATATTACAGATGCAAAGGCCATGAGTAAAACTACAGAGAAGGTAATGCAAGATTTCTATAGGTATCTTCTGACTAAAATTTCCATTTGGAAATTAGTTGTTATTAGATAGAACATTTTTTTACAGGCAGTGGAGATCGGTTCTACTACAGAGCTCTGTGGAGATTGCTATGGAGCAGCCACAGACACTATGAAGTAAGATCCCATTTTTATTAGGACACTGAAGTATAATTCTATTAGTATCCTACTTGCAGTAGATCTTATTTATAAGATTAATCTACAATGCTCTTTACTTCTTGTTTCCTATTTTTTTTATTCATTTTTATCTCGTCTTTTTGTTTCTTATCCTGTTTCTTCGATTTTATCATCAGGGTAGCGATCATGTAACTTTTTCCCTAGGACAGAAACGTGAAAATTCTTTGTATATATATGTGTGTATATATGTACGAACATACCATAAAAATTTTCACTTTTCACGTTTCCAGTCTAACAAAAAAGTTACATAATCGTTATCCTGGGCATCTATTATGGAACAAAATCGGAATGGATTCCGATTGGAATTATTCAATTATTCTCTAGATTTTTATTGTGTTTTCTGGAATCCATTTTGATTTTGTTCCATGATAGATGCCCAGAAAAGAAGTTGATAAAGTTGGAAGAGACAAAAAAATGATTATCAATAAAACAATCGCAAAGAGGAAAAAAGGAAAGAAGTAAAAATAATAAAAAGTGAGAAATGAAAAAGCAAACAGTACATTGTAGATTAGTTGTTCTTTTTAGTTGAACTTCTACAGTTTACTCTCTAAATTCTTTGAAAATTTTACTTTAAAGAGTGAAATTCACTCTAAAAATTTTAGATAGTATTTTTTTTTTTTTCTATTAAGAAAAAATCTATCAAACCTATATTTTATAAAATTTCATTTGTTTGCAGATGTTGCAATACCTGCGAGGATGTATGGGAGGCCTATAGACGAAAAAAGTGGGCTCCGCCGGATCCGGCTGACGTTAAACAGTGTCAGAATGACAAATCCATGGATAAACTCAAGCATGCCTTCACGCAAGGTTGTCAGATCTATGGTTATATGGAAGTGAATAGAGTTGGTGGTAGTTTTCACATCGCGCCAGGCGCCAGCTTCTCGGTCAATCATGTTCACGGTGAGCTAATAAAACTCAAGTTTTTTTTTTAAACAATATTTCCAGTGCCATGAGCTCGTTCTTTGATGCTGCAGTGCACGATGTTCAGCCTTACACTTCATCCCATTTCAATATGACGCACAAGATTAGACATTTAAGTTTTGGGCTTAACATCCCAGGGAAAACAAATCCTATGGATGGCATGACAGTGGTCGACATGGATGGTATGTCCTTGAGATCCTTAATTCTATTTTTATTAAAGACTTAATGACTCGCGCTTACAATATAAACAGTGCAACGAAAAAGATAGGTTGCGAGATACTCAATAACATAGCTTTGTTTACATTGTTGACTCATGTACTAGCATCGTATCCCTGTTCCGATAGCCATGAATGTACCGAATGTGCCGCCACCTTGAAGCATTACCTTGCCGACGCTGTTTAACAATTCTCTTCCCCTTAATCCATATCTGAAAAAAAGTTTCATAATTATATTCAAATTTTCTAATGCGTATGTACCGATATTTTCTACATGCATTTTAAATACCTAAGAGCAGAAAATCCTCCAAAGAGTGCACCAGAGGCCATTCCTACACAAAATCCAATTGTGAAACCTAATTTCATTCTATCGAAACAAGTCGGTCCTTGTTGATAGGCTCCTCCAGGTACCACCGGCATCGTGCAGCCTACGAAACAGTTGTAATGCCAGTATTTGTTTCACTTTCCATAAACTATCTTTTTTTATAGTTTTCGATTTTAAGTAACAATATCTTCAAAATGAAGAGAGAACTTGATAAACTAAATACACTTTTCTTGAGCAGCTTTGCAAGTTTTTCTTTTATGATAAATAGAAAAATTTTCCATAATTTTGAATAGAATTAAATGTTTTTATGGAGTTTATATTGACACATACAAAGTTGATTGTGTACACACTTACTGTTAAAATGTCTGTTACGTAATCTTGTGGCGTGCGCAGTTAATCGAGAGTGATATTGTTCTTACTTTTCAATTTTGTGTTTGATCGTAATTTTTGTGCAATTGCCGGAATTTCTCAATGCATTGCAGTCGTGTTACAATATCGAGAAGGCGCCATGATGGTTTTACAATTTGCAACGTGATCGAAAAGACAGTTGCGCCGTCTGCTGTTTTCGTTTCGTCTGTACCGTCATCCGTGGCGGGAAATTTCAATTACATATCAGTGAAACATGTACATAAATTTTGTTTTTGGAAAAACTTAAGTCGATATTTGTTCTTATTTTAAAGCCATTTTAAGTAATATCTTGAAATATTAATATGCGATTTCGGCTGATATTCATATTTGATTTTTATATTTAAGACTTAAGTACAACCTTAAGATGTCGTGAACTCATAGTCAGAGCTGTATTAGCATCTTAAAAAATGTCTTAAGAATTACTTAAGATAGTCTTAAAATATAATTGACGATTTTGAGACTGTATTTAAAACGACATTAAATATCTAGAGATACGCTGGTAGTGTCTCGGCACTAAACATGGCGCGAGACACTGCCGTGCCTCCTTTAAACCCGTGTTGATTTCAAAATACTAGCTTCAGATTGGCAACAAACTTGCGATCGGCTTGCGTCTAATGTAAAATAGACTTTTTACGCGAATCGGCGAGTTGCGTCAGATCGAGGTTATCGGATCTCAATAATGGCTGTTAAGAATTAACTATGAATACTAAGATTTACAATTTCTGAGCGTTGTCTTGAAGTGTGTTTACATTCACACATACAGACTTCCTTTTTTTAAATAGAAATAGAAAAAGGAAGACATGAATATCGATACATATCAATATATTTAGAATTTTGGAGTACCAATTTAGTGAAATATAGAATTTTTTTAGAGAAAAATTAAGAAATGTATTATTTATAGAATATAAGATATTAGAATTATATCCCTTTAAAGGATGGTATATAATTCAGAATTCTTTCATTTTTTAGTAAATTAAGGAACTTTTTAAATTACTTCTTTTTTTCAAAGTTGGAGATTTAAATCTACGAACAAGTTCTCTTAAATCCCTTCTCGTAATTACCCCCCCCCCCCCCCCCCCCCCCCCCCCC